TGGTCACAAAGGACTTCGATCTATCTTTTGAACCACTGGACCAATTTGTATGAGTTTGACATATGTTTGTATTTGGAGTATGCTGATTCTGAAAATGTAAGTTTTATGTGAACGTGATGCATACTTTTAAAGTCATGAATAAAAAAAACACCTGTATTTCTCTGCCGGTGATAATTACATTACCCATTGTGTAAGGTAATTGTATCACAGGCAGAGGGTAGGATTTTGTGTGGGAGTGTCTGAGTGTATTGTACGTGTTTATTGGTTGTTTTCCAAAACCCTGTGGGTGGTACTAATGTGTAAGAATGTGTATATAAGAACAATAAACCCACAGCTCTGTCTGTTCCTGCTTGACCCTCAAAACAGAGCCTTGTCTCGTTCTTGGGGGGATTTATTGTATGCTGTTCCAGTTTGACTGCTAGGAGTGTAAACCTATTCGTATGGTTTCCTATTCGGCTGTTTACAGCATTCGTATGGTTCCTGTTCGGCCGTTTATGGCATTCATATGCTTCTCCGGTTTGGTGGATTGGTGTCTACAGTAGCAGCCTGTATATCTGGAATGGAAGATCTACTAAACGGCGGTTTAACCCTTTTATGCCTGGGGGTGTCGTTACAATGACATTCACAGTTAAAATTCCATGCAGTGCTCAAGAAATTAAAAAAAAATCTTACTTTAAAAAAAAAAAATCATTTTACTCATATTAAATTATGTTTAATATATAACTATTTGATGTGACATGAAAGTCCTGTTTCTCCTGAACAAAATGATATATAATAAATGTGGGTGCATTTAATATGAAAGAGGTGAATTATGGTTGGACAGATATATAGCGCAGATGTCAGGTTTTGTTTTCGTTTTGTTTTGATCACAACTTGTACAACTGGCTCAGTCCTTAAGAGGTTAATGATGAAATTGCCACATATACTTATCAACAAACTCACAAGGGATTAAGAGAGTCATGAAGATTTAAATTTCCAAGTGAAAAAGTGAAAATGATGAGGGAGAAAAGAAAAGAACACTGTAAAGTTAAAAATTAATAAGTTATATAGAATGGTTTACTTACTAGGTGAAAATTAGATGAATGGCACAAGATGGTAAGGGAATAAATAGGAGGAAAAAAACAGTATAGGGGGTCAATTAGACCTCCAAACGATTACAAATTGTCTGGGGAGAAGAACATAATAAACACTTCACATTTAAGTGATGTTCAGAACTCTATAATGTAATGTCCTAAGGGTTTTTTGGCAGAGTGACGGGGATATCATTCTTTTCTTTTATTTTTTTCCCCTTCTCCTCTGTATTGATTTATTTATATATTTATTTATTTTTTGGTTCAGTGGGATACCCATTAGATGCTTAGGTATTGACTTGGGCGTTTCTAACCCAGCACGCTTACTCACAGGGTATGTGGGTTCATTATCTGAGCAATGGGGAATATTACTCGAGATACAGTATGGCAGGGAATGTTTGCCATACACAAGCTGTGTTTTAGGCTGATTTCTTTGTTTAGGACCAGCCTGTCTATGTGTGTAATTTTAAAACTTTTTTTTACATACCCTACGTTATGATAGCCCTAATGTACTAATTGGAGCGAGAGAGCCCTTTGAGCTGGCAGAAATTGTTCAATTAAACTAGAATCATTGAACGCCCGTGGGATTAACTCACCATTTAAAAGATCCCTAATTCTGGATTTCCTGAAAAAAAAAAACAAATACAAGTTTCTGCCTTACAATAAACACATTGGATAAATACTGACAAAATTTATATAACATCTATTAATTATCCGCTTATTATAAGCGTGGCTCTGAAAGAAAAAAGGGGGGGGCGTGGCCTTTATGTTTTCCAAAAATATATCCATAAATATTAAATACCAAGATCTTGATAAAGAAGGAAGATATCTTGTCCTGGTGTGCAAAATAAATAATACACTTTTTACATTAGCTAAAATATGCACCTAATAGGCCTACTATAAAATCTATAACAAAGATTATGAAGAAAAATTTTAAAATCAAATAAAATGTGCTATTAATCATGGGTGATTTGAACTGTGTAATAGACCATTTTAAAGATAGGAAGAACTATAATGGAAAGAAGATCAATAAAGGAACTTCAGATAGATTACAAAATTTGATAGATCAATATAATATTAAGGATATTTGGATAACATTACATCCATTGGAGTTGGACTTCACATGCTATTCAAAAACATACAATTCCTACTCCAGAATCAATCTTATATTTTATTCTGGGGGATGCGGCCATTCTACACCTTGTTAAAAAATATCGTAATACAGGCTATAACATGGTCAGACCATAACCCAACCATATTGGATTACAAAGATGCTTTTGATAAGTTTCATAAAGATTGGCGATTGAACGATAATATATTATATAAAAACTATAATATTGAACAGATAAAAAAAATAACTGAACTATTTTACTTGGAAAACAAAAATAAGGGGACATAAGATATTTTAGTATTGTGAGCTTACAGAAGCGTAATTAGAGGCCACCTGATTGGGATGGCAGCCAGAATGAAAAAGAAAGAAGGCCCCCCCACCTTCAGAGCTATACATAGCGCTAAATGTATATAATAAAAATAATAAAATAACACCTTCTACAGAAATAGCAAAGAAAATATCAGAAATAGAACAGAACATAAATTTGCAATTATCCAATAAAAATCAAAAAGTTTTTTCAATCTAAATGGTACCAAAAAGGCAATAAACCAGAAGCGCTTATGACTAGTAAGTTGAAAAAGGAAAAAAATAAAAGAGTGATATCTAGAATTAGGGATAAAGATACATATATTATGGCCCCAGAACAAGTAGGCGGAGCAATCGAATAATTCTATAGATCTATATAACCTACCAGAGGATTTATTTGATAGTGATGAAGAAATTTAAAAATTCTTTGAAAATATAAAGATGCCCAAAATTCTGCCCGACCAATTAGAAACAATAAACCAACCTATATCAGAAACAGAAGTTATTAAAGCAATAGATAAGCTTAAATAAAGAAATGCCCCAGTCCCAGATGGCTTTACGATTACATTTTATAAAATTATGAAACATCAATTAAAAAAAGAACTCAGAAATGTTTTTAATTACATGATGAATACAGGAAGAAGCCCTGAAGAGTTATTGAGAGCAAATATCATCCCAATTCCAAAACCAGATAAAGATCCAGAACTGATAAGCAATTTTAGACTGATTTCATTGATAAACACAGACATTGAAATATTCTGGAATCTTGCGGAACTACTGAAATCTGTCATACCAGATCTCATTAACAACGATCAAGTTGGTTTTAGTCCAGGCTGGTCATCAGTTAACAATATTGGGAAAGTAATAGACATTTTGGAAGCAACAAAAGGATCCCACTCATGCTCATATCAATAGACGCAGAGAATGCATTTGATAGGGAAGGGTAGGCCTTTATGTCAGCCACATTAAAACAATTTGGATTTACAGGTCCAATTCTAAAAGCGGTATCTGCTCTCTATGACTCTCCACAGGCAAAAGTCATGGGATCCGGATTTACCTCAAAAAAACATTTTTTTATTTTTTTTTATAGTTCTTTATTTTATTTGTGCATGAAAAGCAACAACAGATTGGTAATCACGTTAGTACAATAGGTACAGAGTTTGACATTTACATACCTTTCAAGTAACAACATATTAGCAGGCTTGTTAGTACAATAGGTGCAGAGTTTGACATTGAGCATACAATATTGTTGGTTTACACAGTTTGTCATTTATAACGGGGTGGAGCAAAGTGGGTAACTGGATGACGAAATCATAATAATACAACAATTGAGAAGAGGGAATGAGAAAAAGAGGGGTGCTGAAGGAGATGGGTGGGGGGAAGAAATAATAGAGAAGAAAGAGAGAGAAAAAAGGGGGGTTTCTCCCGCTCCCCTAGCCCTCCCCGCACTTGGGGGGGGAAGCCGAGGGGGCATGGGAGAGTTGGGAGGAAGAGGTGTCTAGGGGCGTGTGTCTCCTTGGTTTGGATCATAGGGTGGTGTCATTGAGGTATTTGGTCGATCGTATTGTAAGTGGTTGGTTCCTATGTGTTTAGGCGGAGGGGTCCCATATTTTATGGAAGTGTTTGGTTGTGTCGTGTATCATTGCGGACATTTCATCCATTTTGATGGAGTCTGTTATTTTACGACGTACCACGTTCATCAATGGTGTTTCTGGGCTTCCCCATTTTTCGGTGATGGCCCTTCTAGTTGCTAGCGCGATTCTGGTGATCAGTTTGTTTTGTGCTCTGGATGTGTTAGTGTGTGGCTTTGATAAAAGCCATATCCATGGGTTAAGTGGGATGACTGAGTGTAGGATCTTGGACACCATGGTTGTGACCTGTTGCCATAGTTGGGCTATTTTGGTGCACTCCCACCATAAGTTCCCTTGTGTCCACATCCCTTCCAGCATAGGTCTGTGTCTGACCTGCCCATCTGTTTAAGCTTGTGGGTATGAGGTACCACATCATTAATGTCTTTTAGGCTTGTTTTTTGTGGTTAACACATATGAAGATTGTGGCTGTGGCTTCTCATATTTCAGCCCAGTCACATGGGTTTTCTGCCTGGCCTAAATCCTTCTCCCAAGCCGACACGTATGTGAGAGATCCCTCTTTGCTATTTTGGATGATGTGCGAGTATAGTGCTGAGATCTGACCCTTTTAGATTGGTGCTTGCATGCATTGTTTTTTGAAGGGCGTTAGGGCTGTGGTGCCAGCTTGTTTGTTTGCCGGTGTTTCGAGGAAACTTTTGATCTGTCGGAAAAGGACGAATGTTCGGAAAGGCGTCGTTTGCGGCATGTCTGTGAATGGAATTATTTGTTGGTTGGTGAAAAAGTGGTGTAGGTGGGTGAGATTGTTGTCTCTGGGTGTCATGCCCTGTGTGAACTGTGTGTTGCAGAGCAGTGGGGTGAGTGGTGACGGGTGTGTTGTTAGGCTGCATTTGTGTGTTACTTTGTCCCATATTTTGATGTTGCTGGTTAATGCCGGGCTTTTATGGGGTGGGGGGGTCTTGCTTGTTGTGGTAGCCATATGTAGAGGGAGCGGAAGACCCTGCCGAAGATATCGTGATCGAGGTCCACCCATCGTTGAACTCCGAGCGGTGCATGCAGGTTCTGGGCCTGTGTTAGTTGCTTTGCTTGGTAGTAGTGCGTGAGATGTGGCAGGCCTAAGCCTCCTGCCTTGTTGGGTGCGTATAGGGTCTGTCTATTAATTCTGGCGCGTATGTTGGACCAGATGAACTTATTGATTGTCTTTTGTAGCATTTTAAAGTCTGGGCCAGAGATTGGTATTGGTATTGGGAGAGCTTGGAATAAGTATAGAGGCCTTGGTAGCACATTCATTTTGATAGAGGCTGGTCTGCCCAGCCAGGAGATTGGCATGTCCTTCCATATCTGGGTAATTTTCTGTATGGTGGGCGTATAGTTCAGTGAGTAGCTTTGGGACAGTTCTGCTGGTAGGCAGACTCCTAGATATTGTATGTGGGTGGTTTGTAGGTTGAAAGGGTATGTTTGTTGCAGGGCTTCTTGGATGGGCAGATCAATATGTAAGGTCTCCATTTTGTCAATGTTTAATTTATAGTCGGAAACTCTGGCATATTCTTCTAGGGACGTTAGGAGTGGTGGTAGGGAGGTCGGAGGTTCTGTTATCGATATTAGTAGGTTGTCTGCGTAAGCTGCGGTTTTGTATTCTTCCTCACGTATCTTAAGACCTTTTATGTCTGACAGTTTGCAAGAGTGGTTCTCTGGACAGGTTGAACAAGATATGGAAATAGGGGATAAAGGGCATCCTTGTCTCGTGCCGTTCTGTATTGTGAAGGTGGATGGATGGGTGGGTGAGTGGGAGCAGTAGGTTGGCCTTCTGTGTGGCAGATAATGTTTGCAGAGTGTCTATGAAGCTCGACAGGAAAACACATTTTTTAAGGGCCGCGGATAGAAAGGGCCTTAGTAGTCTGTCGAATGCTTTTTCTGCGTTGAGGGAAAGCATGAGGGTCAGGATACGTCTAGTGTGCCTGAATCCAACTTGGTCCAGGTGGATTAACTTGGGTACGAAAGGACATGGGCGATCTGCTAAAAGTTTTGTAAATCATTTTATGTCCACATTGAGTAGTGAGATTGGTCGATAGTGTCCGCGGTCGAAGTGTGTTTTGTTTGGCTTGGAAAGAGGCAAATGTTAACCTGCAGCATTTCATTAGGCAGCGGTTCGCCTGTTAGTATGGCGTTGAACAGGTTGCAGAGGAGTGGGGTCAAAGTGGAAGCAAATGTTTTGTAGTATAATCCGTGAAACCGTCTGGGCCTGGGCTTTTATTTGGTTTGAGTGATTTTAGTGCCCCTGTGAGTTCTTCTGGTGTGATTGGGTTGGTTAGTGTTTGTGCTGCCTTGTTGGGCCTAGTTGGCCTAGGTAGTGATCTATTAAGGCTTTATTTGCAGTTGGGTTCCGAAGTGTGTTGGGGTCATGGTCATATAGGTCTGTCTATTAATTGTCTCCTGGAGGAGAAGGATGTCCGCTTTTCAATCTGTTCGCCCAACGCATGAGTTGGTGCCTTTTTGCAATTGATTGATAGGCAGGTTAGGAAGGTTGGCATGCCGTGGAGTGGGTTGTGGTTCGTGGAAGTTATGTGCTGATGTGTAGTGTCGATGGCCTGGGGGCATGTGGGCCTGTGGTACGAAGGTGAAAAGGAAATAGAGAGAGAGAGAGAGAGAAAAAAAAAGAGAAGGGAAAAGTAGGGGGGTCGGTGACAAGGAGGGGAGGGGGGGTCTCCTGGTATTACTGGTGGCCAGGTGTCGTGTTTATAGGAGTTAGTTAGCTGTCTGTGGTGAAAGTTCGGTTTGTGAATACCCCCTGGTTGTGGTAGGGGGGGATTCCAGAAGGGGTGGTCTGTGCGGGGTCTCAGGAGGAGGTTGGACGTCCATTGTGCCAGTCATCCTCCCCTGGGGGTTGTCCTGCGGTCGCATCTCGTTGGTGCATGCCGTTGGGGTGGGCCCTCCGGGTAATGGGTTGGTTTCTGCCTGCGGGGGGGGTTTGTTGGGGGACAATCGTGGAAGGTGGGCTTTGTTGATTGTGAATGTGTGTGGGCTTGGCTAGGTGGGATTGTATGGGGTGTAGTCGGGCGTCTGCCTTTCTGTTGGGTGTGTGTTACAGGGTCCCTGGAGTAGGTTGGCGGGTGTGAAGGGTGGAGCGGAGCACTAGTATCCTATAGACATCTCCGCTGGTATTTAAATAGGAATTCAGGAACAAGAAGTTAATCCAGGATGAACAGCAGCAATAGTAAATAAAATAATCCAGTAATATCCCATCATAATTCCCAATAACTGGACGACACACAATATCAGGAGAAGAACTGAAGATTTATTCCACATACTCAGCTTTTAAGCATTTCTCCCATGCAAGGGAGACACCAACAAGAATTATACAGTAAACCAATCATACAAGAGTTACCACCCCCATATTTCCTCCCCTCAGCATGACACATAATCCCATTATACAGGACACATTTCTCCCCGTTTTCTGGATGTACCCCTAATACCAGAGATACACCCCTAAATCTTACATCCCCTAGTAGCCCTGAGGGCTGGTGCAAGGATTTTTGCCGCCTTAGGCAAAAAAAAAATTTGCCGCCCCCCCATATGTCCTGCCCATCATGTGACATCACAATGCCCCACCCATATGCTCTGCCATATGGGCCAACGCCAGTCTTCACAAAGTGACTTTTATCTGAAAAGACAGTATGTTTACATTAAAAAGCCTACAGGCACAGGCTATAGACACCAGAACCACTACATTATGCTGTAGTGCTTCTGGTGACTACAGTATCCATTTAATGTGAAGTAAATTAGAGATTAGTGCCACTAATAATATATTGGATTGCCTACTTACCACCAGATGAGGACAAGAAGCTGATGATGGGCTCTGTCTGGCTCCACAGGTCTGGTGTAGAAGAGGCTCTCTGGAGACTGTTTTTAACAGTGCTCACAACAATTAACGAACAGGAAGCAGCTCCATTTTTTAGGGCCCCTTACACAGCTCAAGGTCTGGGCCCCCAGGGCTTGACCGTGAGTATGCCCACAATGCCCACCCATAAATCCAGCTACATGGCCCACCCATGAGTTCTCTCACAGGAAGTGGAGTGAGGATGTGTGTAGGGGATGTTTTATGTGTTATTGTAGTGGATGCAATGTGTGTGTGTTCTTATAGAATGTAGTGTATAGGGATACCAATTTCTGTAAGGGATGTAGTGTGTTTATAGGGGATGCAGTTTGTGTTTGGGTGTAAGGAATGCATTGAATGTTTCTGGGTGTGTGTGTGTAAGGGTTGCAAGGTGTGTTTCTGTGTATTTAATTAAATGCAGTGTGTGTCTGTAAGGGGTGCATTGATTGTGTAAGAGATGCATTTTGTTTCTGTGTGTAAGAGAATGAGTGTTTGTGTGAACGTAAGGGATGCATTGTGTGTTTCGGGTGTGTCTGTGTGTGAGTAGGAATGCATTGTATATTTCTGTGTGTGTGTGTGGAGGGGGATGCATTATGTATGTGTGTAGTGTAAAAGATAGGGTTTTGTGGGGTAGGATAGGGACTGAGAGGGGAGCAGCTCTTTATTTTTTATTTTTTTCATAGTGCTCTCCCCTCCTGTCAATTATTGATTTCCCCTTCCCTCCTGTCCCTCCGTGTTCTCCCCTTCTGTCCCTTAGTGCTCTCCGATGGCCCCCTGTAATCCCCCCTTGGTGGTCTTCTCACTCCCCCCTCTACCCCTTAGTGGTCCTCCATCTCTCCCCTTAGTGGTCCTCCCTCTCCCAAACCCCTTAGTAGACATTCCCCTCCTCCCCCACCCCCTTAGTGGCAATCTCCCCCCCTCAGTGGTCATTAACCTCTTTCTCCCTCCCCCCCTTAGTGGTCCTTACCCGCCTCCCCTCTCCTTAGTGGTCCTCCCTACTTACCCCCCTTTGGTGGTCCTTTTCCCCCTTAGTGGACCTCCCCCCTCCTCCCCCTGTGTTCCTTCACCCCCCTTCCCCAGTGGTCCTTACTACCTTCCTCCCCAGTGGTCCTTCCCCAGTGGTCCTTACTCCCCCCCCATCCTCCCAGTGGTCCTTGCTCCCATCCCTCTTCCCAGTGGTCCTTACTCCCCATCCCTCTCCTCCCCAGTGGTCCTCCCCTGTGGTCTTCCCCTCTCTCTCCCCAGTGGTCCTTACTCCCCATCCCTCTCTCCCCAGTGGTCCTTGCTCCCCTCCTGTGGTCCTTGCTCCCCCCTCCCCCAGTGGTCCTTCTCCCCCTGTGGTCCGCGCCCCTGGTCCATGCCCCCCCTCCTGTGGTCCTCCCCTGGTGGTCCCTTGCCCCCCTGTCCTTGTGGTCCTTACCCTCCTCCCCTCCCTGGTGGTCCTTGCCACCCTCCTGGTGGTCTTGCCCTCCCTCCCCTGGTGGTCCTTACCCCCCTCCCCTCTCCTTGTGGTCCTTACCCCCCTCCCCTGGTGGTCCTTACCCTCCTCTTCCCTCCTGTCTATGTAGGATCAGTGAGCACTTCCTGTCAGTCCGCCGGCGGCCGGGTACAGGAAACAGAGGTTCCTGTCCCGCGTTCCGCGCTGCCCGGCCATGCTACATTGAGAGACCGGCAGGAGGGAGCGCTCTGCACTTCCCTCCTGCCGGTCACTCAAATCCAGCCGCCCTCCATACAGGAGTGCTGCGCAGCCTGAGGCTTGCTAAAGCGCTCAGGCGGTGCAGCATGAGGAGCCGCACCGGTGATTCTGGGTGCAGGGATCCGGCGCCTCCTGCTAAGGTGCGCCCTAGACGGCTACCTAGGTCGCCTTACAGGTAGCGCCGGCCCTGAGCCCTGATCTGAGTGAGCAACATACTCAAAAATCACCCAGATCAGATCAGGGATTCGGGAGTTACATGGATGTATTCATTTGACCGACCGCACTAGAGGTAGTAGCCGAAATCAGCTCCATACATTCTGGCCTTGCGGTCGGTCTCAGTTCAAGGGATGAAACACACGAAAGTACCGGGTTACATAGACTGGGGTTGGATTCGTATCAATCCTCTTGTTCGTGGGATTCTTTCTACCGAATGGCGGGCCGTTCGGTAGTTTTTACACGGAATGATGGAAGTCTGGAGGTCTCAGCAGTGTTCGCGTAGTCGAGTGTCCGAATTGGGTTCCAGACACTCAACGACCAAACACCGCTGAGCATTCGTATGTTAAGATGGCTGCCGCCACGTGTTCGTTTGCCGAATGGCTGCCACCCAGGGAACACATAATACATTTAGTTGAATTACCAATTATGTGGTTGGAACATAGATGCGTTTCTGCGTTTCTCGTTGATGGTGTAGTGTCAGTCATGTGTGGTGGGTTGAGTATGCTGTCATGGTCAATTCGGTGCTCCGATATTTCCTATTTGTTTTGTCGTGTGGACCTGTGCTCGGTTTGCCAGGGGCCCTCCAGGCTTTACCAATTATAATCATTTGATATACCGTAACTATATACATTCAAAGGGGTCAGAGATCAACAGTTGTGAGAGGTAAACCTGAGGAGGATTTTTGGGGACACTTTAGGTTGACGTGGTTCAGGGGTCAGGTTTGGGTCTCTTTGTGTGTGACCCTGAGGTATGTAATATAAGTGTCTCAGTCCGCTGGGCGGGCGTGGGTTGGAGTGCATTTATCATGTCAGTTATAAACATTTAAACATTTCAAATTCCATAGTTGTTTGCATGCAAAATAGGTCAATGACCAACAGTAGGGAGAGGCATAGGCAAATCCGTGGGAGGGTATGGTGATACTGCTGATTGATGTGGGTCACATGTCAGGCCGTGCTGTGTGAGCCTCTGCTTAGGTGAACGTGAAGCTCAGGTTGCAACTTTGAGAGTTGGCAGCTCAGTAGGCCATGCTGGGAGTTATACATATGCCTCTAAGAGCCAGCTGTGTGCTATTATGGTCCTCATATGCTGTGGGTTGGGTATTGGATGGGACCTTGTGTAGTGCTATCCTGAGTGTTTCCCCACCTGGTTTCAAGGGGTTTGGTGTACCTTTTGCGGTCCTTCGTACCTTTTCATTTTGAGTAAGCGTTTAAACTATTTGAGTACCCCTGTGATCTCCTGGCCCCGTTTGTCTGATGGATCAGGTTGGGCTAGGGTTGGGGATCCCAGGTACGGATAGGTATCATTATGGATATATGTAGGTGGGGGTGAAAACCATTCTCATTTGAGGAGTTCACCCACTGTAGGAAGGTAGGAGGCCGGGGTGGGTTGTTGGTGGAATATGCAGGGTCGTGTCCTATGGCTAGCATGCCCCTCGGGCAGGGGTGTAGGACATGGTGTGGGGAAGTTTTGGTTTGGGGGGTGTACCTTGTGGCTGCATTCTATTGGAGCCGTGGTCGCTCTCCCCCTGTGGGCCGATGTGGGTGGCATTGCAGAAGAGGCCTAGGGCTTGTAGCCCTTTTAGTGATGGGAGTTGGGTACCGGTTCCTTCTCTTGAAACCTTGCAACTGGGGGGTCTGGGTACCGGGATACCAGGGGTCCTCGGGACATTGCCTCTTATAAACATTTTGAATACATTAACTATATATATGTGAGAAGATCAACATTAGTTATAGGTTAACCTGAGGAAGGTTTTGGGAGGTAACCCTGGATGTTGTGCACCGGGGTTCAGGAGCCAGTCTGTGCTTGTCCCCAGGATGTGGATGGAGGCTGTTTCTTGGTCTGTGAGCACGACAGGAGAGGTAAGGGTCCTCCTTTGTGACCAGTGCTCTCGAGTGCGGCAGAGCTGGAGTTAGAGGGAGGGTAGCGTAGGGATATACCCAGATGTTTGGCAAAGTCCTTCATGTTGGTCACTTGATGGAGGGTAAAGGTTTGGTTGTCTTTTTTAATGAGGTGTTTAATGGGGTGCCCCCACATGTAGTGCCAGCCTTGTTCCTTCAGTGCTCTGGTGAGAGGTTTTGGTTCTCTTCGTTTCTTCAGTGTTGTCGGTGCCAGGTCTTGGTAAAAGTGTAGTGGTTGCCCCTGGTAAGTAGGGGGTTATCCCTTGCTGCGTTCATCAGTTTTTCTTTGATAGGGAAGTGCAGGAGTTTGGTGATGATATCCCTTGGTATTGTAACTGCTGGTGGTTCCCTTATTTACCACTATAATGTCTTAAAGCATAGAACTTAGTAGGGCTAACCATACAGATATCTTAGCCATAATTTTATATGGTGTAAGAGATCCTCTATTTAACATATATAAATAATTGAGAATACAATATAAAATAAGGATTGTCTTGGAAGCAAGATTGTCTTTTGGATATTTATTATATAAAAATATAAAATCCATTATAGCAGAGTTTATAAGATTAAATTACATTACACGCTTGCAAATATCATTAATAGGTTAACATACCCTTCTGAACATGTCATCATGTCAGCCTCTCTGTCATTTTAAGATGGAGCAGCGTCTGTCTCCAAGTCTCTCCTCTGTGTTTTAACATTTAAAAGTGCACCTATTTATACCTTAGGTGTCTCCATTTTAGGTTACTGTAGTTCAAATATGAAAAAGTAACACTTCTTTTACTTTATTCAATTTAGGACCTCCCTTAATTTGGCAAACATACAAGGCCATAACTAAAGGGTGTATACGTCATGGAAATTTTCCTGACTTAGTTCAAGATGACATCTTAAAGTCTGAATAGGTTATCTGTTGTTTATACTAAGTCGTAAGTGTACAGTCGTGGTTCCATTAACTTGGGGTTACCACAGTATATTGTGTACTGCAAGAGTCGTAGTATAGCCTTGAAGCTTGTTTATGCGTTATTGTTATTGTAATTCGTCTGGGACAAAATGGCGCAAACATATTATGCACTGAGGTTATTGCTTAAAGAAACATCTATGAAAAACAATATGTTCCATTTCTAACACCTTGTCAGTTGGCAATATCTCTTAAAGACAAAGTACACAGTTTAAGAAATACAACATTTCATTCTAAAACTTGTAATATTTGTATTTGCCCATAACAGTATGTTAGGGTTGAAGGCTGGGGGACGCAGGGCTCTGTGTGCCCTTGCGATATACAGTTCTTGGTCGGAGGTGTCAGGAAGGAGGGATTGGAAGATTGCCCTTACCATATGGCATCCGGTGAGACAGACTCCAGCAGCCCCCTTATTCGTTTGTTTTGCCTTCAGGATCTGTTGTTAAGTCTTCCAGGCCGTCCTCCAGGTACAAGACTTTTAGCGTGTCTATGTCCCAGTCGTGGGTGTCAGTTCTGGACTGTGTTTCCAAGAGCGGGTTTTCAGTGTGGCTGGTTCGTGAGGCTAGGGCCTCCATGTCTTCTTTTAGGCCAGCGATCTGTTTTTCCAGAGTAGCCGTGGTATAGGCCTTGATGTCATCGGAAGTTTCCTGGAGCATTTTCCGGAGGTCCTCTTTAGTGAGGGGGATTGACGGGCTCTCCATGGAGTCACTCACGTTAGATTCGGAGCCTGAGTCCGTTGGGTCTTGGGACAAAGATCGCCGCCTCCTGTCTTTGGCACGGAATTTCGTGGCCACTGATGGTGTCTCTTGTCGTTTTTTGTTGCCCCCCATCTCAGAAGGGGGTGAAGAGGGTGTTAAGTGTTAGAGGTTTGTAATTAGGAAGCGAGATGCACCGATATGTACGCTCCGCCCCTACCTCTCAAATTTTTAACCTTAATAACAGGACAAGGCTGGGATGCCCCCTCTCCCCACTATTATACATATTAGTATTAGAACCTTTAGCCATTGTTATAATACAAATTTTTTAAAAATTACAAGCTATAGCTATCCGTTGGGGCAGGTTAAATATCTATGCGGATGATATACTACTGATCCTTGAAGAGCCAGAATCCTCTATTCCAAAAGTGTTAAAAGATTTGAATAGGTACTCTAGAGTATCGGGCTATAAAATAAATTTAGACAAATCAGTAGTTATAGCCAAGAACATGAGTAAGAGATCAGTTAATCTCCTTATAAAAAATTTTGAACTTCCAAAGGACAAAAATTGTTTGCAAATACTTGGGTATAACCATTACATCAGAAGTAAAAAAGTAAAAAAAAAGCTAATTTTTTACCCTTACTAAAACAAACCAATAAAAACTTATGGGATTGGAGGGGGTTGGGATCCTCGTGGTTGGGCAGAATCAATATATTAAAGGCTTATGTCTTACCATAATGGCTCTATTTATGGAGAATAATCCCTCTTAACTGTCCCAAAAATTAGTTACTAATGTTACATGCCTCTTTTTAAAAATTTGTCTGGGATGGAAAAAAAACAAGAGTAAAGATAAACATTTTTGCTAGGATAAGACAAGATGGAGGTTTGAGTTGCCCAGAAATCCATCAATGTTATCAGGCCAGTAAACGGTTTCATATAATGTTATCACAGAATACATCCACAGAAAAGGAAAAATGGTATTCAATAGAGAAAGACAGCACAGGAGTAGAGAATTTATCCTCTCTATTCTGGATTTTAGATCTCAATAAAAACTTTATAGCTGAGGCAAGATCCAAATCACATATAATTAGAGATCTAGCAGATTGGTGGGATATACTTGAAAAAAAGTCGGACTAAAGAATAGAATAATAGATGCACTACCAATCTTAGTGATTAATGATATGCTAGATAATATTAAGATCAACTCTTGGAAGAGCAAGGGAATACATAAAATCATAGATATAACAGAAGATTATAAAATCAAGCCCTTTCAACAAATAAGTGAGGAATTCTGTATACCACCAAATGATATATTTAACTACCTTAGAATTAAAGGGTTTGTCTCAGCGTATATTATTAAGAATAGAGAGCGTAAAATAGACTGGTTTATTCAACTTGTCGAACTAAAAAAAAAAATCTATAAAAATATGCTAGCAGTCTACATCTGTTAAAGTCTTATATAAGTTAAGACATGATAAACTTTCCAGAGCAATTGAAAAGTGGGGAAAAGATCTTCAATGAAGATTCTTCATATACAAATAGATGAGGAAGTTTGGAAAAGTTATTTTAATAAATTATATAAACACATCAACTGCTTTTAAAAATAAAAGCTGATAAAACAAATAACGTGCTGAATGAGTCTACGCTTTCGTCCTAGGTCGGACTTCGTCAGGGAAAAATGAAGGTATAACTTGATCACCTCCGTTCATCTTTTGAAGGTGATTTTGCACCTTTCCATCGTGCCTGCAGCCAATCGGGATGCAATGTTAACAGTCCCTTCACCTGTATTTCCTCGTTCCCGTAAATGCGTTCCATGCCTCTTGGTAATGCGTGTCACTGGGAAAACATCCGGTATCGCGTAGAACGCTCCATGCGTTCCAGATCGCGAACCAGAAGTTGAGCAAATTTTCGAGCCCACCATAATAAAGGGGATATAGTTCATTTGTCAATAGGAAATAAGGACGAAAATAAAAAACATAAAAGAATACCATTAGCCAAACTAAAATGGCAACAACTAGAATTCTCATATATAAACAATACAACCAAAAATGGCTAAATAAGAATATGCATAGAATAAAAAGACACTTAAAAGACAAGAAATTGTTATATTAATGTAACTAAAAGGTTATATTATTGAACCAATGTAAATGGACATTTTATTATGGACATAAATATGCCGAATGCTAGAAATATATATACAATACAGAAGCATATTGGGTACAGAAAAAAGGTCATGCAAAAAGGGGAAGTCCAAAATAGAATATATATTGAAAAAGGTGAAGAAGGTAAAACCTCTGAGGATGGGAAAAGATCAGAGATCAGACTGCGTCAAAAATGTGGATTTAAATTTTCATGATTGAGAAATAAGAAAAAATATATACCGTATATACTCAAGTATAAGTCGAGTTTTTCAGCACATTTTTTGTGCTGAAAACCCCCCACTCGACTTATACTCGAGTCACTGTCTGTATTATGGCAACTTACATTGCCATAATACAGACAAGGACCGCCGGGCTCATTACAAGCCCGGCGGTCCTGTTGGGGGCTGGCAGCGAGCTGTAACTTACCTTTCCTGCAGATCCTGTCAGCTCCCTTCTCTCTCCTCCGGTCCGGTCAGCTCCCCTGTCAGCTCCACTGTAAGTCAGTTGGCTTAAAATACGTCTTGCTTTTAATAGTGGAGTCCTCTATATAAATTGATAAGTCAAGAAAGTTTATGTTATAGGAGTTAATTTCCAGAAGTTTTTAAAATCAATAGCTATATCTCGTGCTCTTCGATGCATGTTGTGTATCTCATCACTTGTGGATGTGGGGCACAATATGTGGGAAGGGCAGGGAGAAAAGTGAAAGTAAGATGCCTAGAACATTATAATAATGTGAAGAAAAAGATCACCACACATTCTGTACCCATACACTGCAACTCTTGTCCCTCTTTCAAGAACAACCTTAACTATATAGCCATTGAACAGGTACAATTAGATTTAAGAGGAGGTGATCTGATGCTTAAATTAAGAAAGAGGGAGGGCTTTTGGATGCATAGGCTAAAGACTATGAACGTAGATTTCGATCTTGTTTGCTTTTTAAATTGAGTTATTTTTTAATCGAGCTCTTTTGCAATTCCACTTCAATATGGTTCCTAGGCTTGGAGTCTAAAAGATATTTTGAAATTTTTGTTACTTGAAATTTAAATTTCCATTTTTAGGTCCATAGATTATTATTTTTAATTAATTTCTTCCTTAAGAATAGTAAGATTATTTTAAGCTAGTATGCCAGAACCTGTTTCGAACTTCTAGTAATGTCCTCTCTCGCATTTGACATTCATTATAATTTTAAGTTATGTATATACATATTAGAATTATTTTGAGAAGATTATTTATTCATTTTCTAATGGTTTTTTTTATTTTTTATTATTTGTATGATTAAGTTTGTATTTTCTTTTTACTTTTATTGATATTTATTAAAGAATATGTACAGAATTATTTGGAAGAATTTATATGCTTTATTTGTTTTTTATTTAATTATATATTTTTTATTTAACTATGTCTTTGATTTTATTTTATTTAATTATTTGTAATTATGCGTATACTTTATGATAATTAAGATCATGATACATGTTCTTTTAATTTTTTTACTTTTTATCTATGTATGGCACGATGGACACTTTGTGATCCTTTTGAATTGACAAGCTTAGTAACCAATTTTGAACGCTTTCTTGCTGAAACGCAAGCGTTCCTTTCCGGTCTTCCTTTGGAACAAAGATTGATTCTGTGAAACGCTCACGTGACCGCTAATGCGATCAGAAACGAGGCTTGGAACACACACTGAATAGAATAAGCGACAGCTGTATTCCCTTGATACGGACGAGCTGATGGCATCCGGAGGAGGGGCTCAATGGATTTAAATACCGAGCCGGGCGGCAAAGAGATTTTACACAGGAGATTGATCTTCATTTTACCCCTGAGGAAGTCCGAACTGTCAGACGAAACGCGTAGGGTTGGGGCTCTATGTAGGAGAGTATTTTGTTTTTATTTGTGGTATCTAATACATTTTTCAAGTAACAAGGATTCCTTGTTTATTTGCATTTGAATTTTCTGGCGGACTTCATCTGAACACCTTGGTAACCTGTGATATGACATGCCTGTACACCTCTGCAATCTTGTAAGTGTTTTATCATCTAGTGCTTCACTAGGTTAACAACAGTCTGCACTTATTATTTTACTTTTTTCTCTCCTATATGCACTTATATGTGGGGAAGATCGCTAGTCAACCTTATTATTGATGTGCCTTTAATCAACTTTTTTGTTGTGAGTGTAACTTTGAACATCACTATTAGTATCTACTTAAGATAGTACACTATGATGTTTTTTTCTTCTTACTGTAGATCTTATATTTTATGCATGTTTTGAGAGGACTGGAAGGAGTCCTTTTTTGTCAAATTCTACAGATTGAGGTATAAATTTGTATAGGTAAATATAGGTAAATTTGTTTGTTTTTTACCTCCTCACTTTATGTCTTTCCATTTGCGATTGTTAAGGGTGTTTCTATTGTATTATAACAAATCTACTGAACCTTTCCAGATAATTAAAATATCCTCTATATATCTTTGGCAGAGCACCAAGTTCGTGCTAAAAGTATTGTTATTCCAAATATTCAGTCTCCCAGTTATCCATGAAAATGTTTGCATAACTGGTCGCGAACATGGTGCCCATGGTGTTACCTTGAACTTGTAACTCACCGTTAAAAATAAAAAAATTGTGAGTTACAATGAATTTAATACTATCTAAAATTTGAACTGGAAAACCAAACCAAGACAGATGCTTGTGCCAGGAGCACACATATTCTAAGCTCCCTACTGGGATTGTCTCTAAAACAACTTGTTGATGAACCAACTCGTAAGGAGGCCATACTAGATTTAGTTTAAAAAAATGGAGATTTGGTATCAGATATTACTGTAGGTGAAAGTTTAGGATCCAGTGATCATCAGTCAGTGTGGTTTAATTTAAGAACAGTGACTGAGTCACACCACACAAAAAACAAGATAATGCACCTTAGACGTAAAAAGGGCAAGGGCAGAGTATAGGATATTTGATATCCTACTAACCTCAACATCTGAAGAAAGGGATTTAGGAGTAAGTAT